GGATTACAGGCCCCTGCCACTGTGCCTGGCTTTTTTTTTTTTCTTTTTTAATAGAGACTGGGTTTCACGATGTTGGCCAGTCTGGTCTCAAACTCCTGACCTCAAGTGATCCACCCACTGCAGCCTCCCAAAGTGCTGGGATTACAGTCATGAGCCACAGCACCCAGCTGTGTTGGTTCTTAAGTGTCTGTGCACTCTGACCTAGAGCACTGCAGGCCAGCAGAGCATCCAGCTACTGGCCCTGGTTTCAGGCTCAGCCTCAGCTTCCTTTTTGGGAAAAACAAAAGCACTGCGATGAGATGCTCTCTAAGTGTCTAAGATTGTCTTGAGACTGGCCCACTTCCACCACTTACAGGCTGTGTAATCCCTGCCACATTGCTCAGCTTCTCTGAGCCTTAGAGTTCCATCTGCTTTGTCTAGTTTTGGAAACTAGTTTGGGTCTAGTTTTGGGAACCGGGGAGAGCCATGTGAATTCTGCGGATAGTAGCCCTCTCAGGGGGCACACGTGTGCTTCTGAAGAGCAAGGTGTAAGTGACCAGTGACCACTAGGGTATGCTAACAGGGGTGGAGCAGACAGCTGGGCTCTGCAGGGACTTCCACAAGCAGAGCCAGGCCTGAGTGAGGCTGCCCTGAAGCCACCCAGAGGGGGACAGCAGGGTTGCCTGTCCTCTGCTCTGGCAGGTACTACATGGGGGACACCGTGGACGTCCTGTTTGAGAAGTGGTTCTACTGCAAGGACCTCGGCACACAGTTGGTCCCCATCATCCAGGAGTAAGCCCCCAGCCCAGCCCCTTCCCGTTGCTTTCCTGGGGCTCTGCACCAGCACCTGATGGCCTAGGAGAAAGTCTCCCCTCCCAGGATGGGGAGCCTGGCCCAGAGGGCCCATTGGGGAGGGGAAGGGACAGCAGCACGGGGCTGGGAGGGAAAGAATGGGAGACATATAGTTGTATGAGGACCCCATGAGTGTGTGTGCACCTGACCATGAGTATGGTGTATGTGCGTGTCACTGGCCACTCCAATGGGAGTGCTGGCCACTCCTGCCCTCCCTCTTCGTCCCTGCAGGTTCTTCAGCTCTGAGCAGTACAGAACAGGAAAGCCCATCCCTGGTGAGGCCACTGGGAACCTCCCTTCTTCCCTCCCTCCCCTTCCAAAATAGGATGGGTGTTGGTCCAGGGGACTGGGGAGTGTCTTTTTGAATGCTCTGTCCAGTCCTCAGGGTACTGAGATGGGAGCCAATGGTACTCCTACACGGCTGCTTGATCACTGAGCTGGATCCAGAGCCCATTCTGGCAATGGAGACCCGGGGCCCCTGGGAACTGGGCCTGGGGCTGGGTGAGCTGGGTCCTAAGGACACTGACTAGAGTCATGCTGTGGGTGCAGACCAGCTGCTCAAGGAGCCACCATTCCCACTGAGCACACGATCCGTCATGAAGCCCATGTCCCTAAAGGCCTGGCTGGACAGCCACCACCAGGAGCTGCAGGCAGGGACACCACTCAGCCTGTTCGGGGACACCTATGAGACCCAGGTAATGCAACCTGGGGCACCCAGGGCATCCTCCCAGCAGCCCTGGAAAATGGGAACAAATCTCTCTCTCACTGCCTGTCTTTCTCTCTCTCACACACACACACATGCGCACACATACACCCCACATTTCAGAGGTTGCAGGCATAAGCATAGGCCCTGGTGCTCCCACCCTGACTCAGCAGGTGCCGGCTTTGCTGTGAGCGGAGGTCTGTGGAGGCCGTATGGTCCCAAGCAATTTTAAGATCTGAATTCACTTTGAGAGTTGGAGGCTCCCCCACTCCCTGACAGCTTCCTGAGGGTCTGCACTATCCCCCTTGCTAGGAATTCCTAAGCCTTCAGCCAGTCACAGCCTTGGAAGCCAGAAGGGAGAGAGTTGTTTGGGAGTGAGGGTTGGGCGAAGAGAGAGATTCAAACAAAGCTGACTTTCTTTCATTCCACATTTATTAAATGCCTGTTATGTTTCAGGCTTTAGTGGGAGAATAACATAGAGTCTCTACCTTAAAGAATATATAGTTTGTTCAAAGAAATGGACAAGTTAATCAACATTGCCACAATCATGTGATAAAGTATCTGATAGAAAAGCTATAGGAAGCTATAGAAGGATAAAGGAGGAACCCAGGCTGAAAGGGAAGTCAAGGAAGGCTTCCTGGAGAAGGTGATGTACATGTTGCATTTTAAAGCTAGTGTAGAGAGCATTCTAGGTGAGGGAGAGGCATGAGGAAAGGCATGGAGGCCTGAAACAGCCTGGCCCTGAGAGTATCTGAAGTTGGCAAGAGGCAGGGCTGGGGAGTGGGGGTACAAGTGTGACTGGTGGACTGTGGAGCAGCAGGCAAGGCCCAGGTCCTAGTAGGTCTGCTGAGCTAGGCCAGGTAGGAGGACTTGTCCTAAAGACAATAGCGTTCCACCCAAGTGTTGAAGCAGGGGAGTGACAGGCGAGAGTGATGTTTCAGAAAGGTCACTCCGTACCATGCGTGGGGATGAGGCTGGAAGGGCAGGAGTGGTGCGGGGAGACCTGCGGGAGGCTGGTGTTCGCCTGTGCTTTGCGGCTTGCCACTGGCGCATCCCATGGGCTTTGAATTAGTCAGTCTGTGAAGGGATGCTCACGGCTACAGGCTCCCCTTAAGAGGCGTGGCCTGCTGCTCTTGGGTTCCAGGGAGGTCCTGAGCTTACACAGGGCTGCGAGAACACGCACACATGGCACAGCAGTACCACTCAGCCCTGCACCCCACCTCCGTCATACCCTGCTCTTACCTGCTTCGGTTTACATGAATGAATATCCACTGAGTCCCTCTCTGGGCCAGCAGGAGCGTGGCCCACACAGTAGCTGTGGGCTTCCAGGCCGGTGCGTGTCAGAGAGGCCTCAGCCTCGCCCTCCTTGTTCCCTCCTCCTCCTGATGCCAGACTTATAGCGTCTCAGGAGAAAGGGAGGTGGCACCCTCTGGGAAGCTGGTGTAAATGTGTCCCTAGTGTGCCCTGGCGGGCGTTCCTTCGCATGGGCACACATCAGAGGAACCACAGGTGCACTGCGCATGAAAGGCAGGCATGTGTGATCCCAAATACTTGTTGCAGTGGCAGGCACAGGGAGGCCTGCAGCCCAGGCAGCCTTCCTCTCCATGTCCTGGTCTCTGCTCACCACATGGTGATGGGGCTGTTTTATGGGCCCCAGCCCTCCAAGCAGGCCCGGTGTCTGGGGGCCAGGTTCAAGACCATCTCCCATGTGAGGCAAGAAGCACCAGAAGTTTCTGTTTCACCTCCCACCAGGTGATCGCCCATGGACAAGGCAGCAGCGAAGGCCTGAACCAGAATGTGGACGTGTGGCTGTGGCAGCTGGCAAGTGGGGCCCAGGGACTGGGTTGCAGAAGCCCCTGCAGGGGGCATCAGCCTGGGCCCTGGGCAGCCTGTTCCTGGGCCTTCGGGCCCAGCAGCCTCAGACCTGCCCCCAGGTGTTGAGTTCCAACACCCTCCATGTGATTCTCTGCTCCTCTTTCCAGGAGGGCTCCTCAGTGGTGACGATGAGGGGACAGCGCCTGAGCCTGGGCCCCGACGACAGCCTCCTGGTGCTAGCTGGGACCTCGTGAGTATGTGGGGAGGGCTTTCTCTGGGATCCTCAGGACCCAGCTCTGTCTGAGCCCTGCTCATCTGTGTGTCCACAGGTATGCCTGGGAGCGAACACAAGGCTCTGTGGCCCTGTCTGTAACCCAGGATCCTGCCTGCAAGAAGCCCCTGGGATGACCCCCTTGCCACGGCCTGAGGCAGCCACAGGTGTGCCAAGCACCCTCTTGAGTGCCATCCCCACTAAACAGCTCTCCCAGCCCCCACTGCTTCTCCGTGAACTGCTGCTTGTGCCTCTCACGGACCTGGACATGATTGTCAACCACTCTCCTGCCCTTCTCAGCCCAGATGCCACGCCCCTGGGTGGGCAGCAGCTCCCCATCTTCTCCGGCAGTCTCACCCCGCTGCCTTGCCAGCCTTTCCAGGCAGTCTACTTCCTGCCCAGCTCCTGCCCATTCCTCTGTCCCTACAGACTTTGTGCAGCACCTCCCCACCCAGAAGGCCCTCAGTAAAGGTTTCCTGGTGAACGAATACCTGTGGTCTGCACACACTCAGGCAGCCATCGCTGCTGTTCCCATGGGCTCCCCTGCGACCATGTGGTGAATCTGGGGCATCCGGGCCCCAGGTGGCCATGGACATGTTGGAGGATCTGTTATTGAGCATCCCTGTTCCTGGATGGGCATTCCTCACTGTGTGTGTGTGTGACTTGATCCACGCATGCTCCGTGTCTGGTCCTGGGAGCACAGCTAATGTCATCTCTCCACTTCCTTCTTTGTTCCCATTTATTCCTGTTACTTTTTTTTTTTTTTCCAAGACTGGATCTCACTCTGTCACCCAGGCTGGAGTGCAGTGGTGCAATCACGGCTCACGGCAGCCTTGACCCCCCTGGCTCAAGCGATTCTCCCACCTCAGCCTTCTGGGTAGCTGGGACTACAGGCATGCACCACCACACCCAGCTAATTTTTTTATTTTTTATTTTTTGTAGAAATGGGGGTTTCGCCATCTTGCCCAGGCTGTCTTTTTACATAACTTTAAAAGACTAGCATCTGTTGGGTTTTTTTCCAATAACAGAAGTCATCTGTGCTAACTATAGAAAACACAGAAATACACAAAACCCCCCGCCCAGAGCTAACCACTGTTAAGACTACGATCAGCCTGGAGAGGGTGTGAAGTTGTACCAGGAGCTCGGCAGTGTCGGTGAGGTGTCTGGCCTTATACCCCTGCCCTCCCCTGTCATGCACAGGCGCCATGTTCAAAGACTCTGGAGGACCCCTTGAGCCTGTTGTGCAGGTCTCGGGATGCAGAGGCACCAGTGGGCAGAGACGAGAAAGTGGAACCTGCAGCAGGCATGTCTCGGTTTCCTGGGACTTCCGTGGGAAGTCAATGAGGGCATGCACATGAGAGTGCCGGAGGCAGCATGCACATGAGCGTATCTGGACAGAACAGGTCCCTGCTTGGCCTCAAGTTTCCTCTAGAAAAGAACACTTGAGCCCTGTTTCCCCCATCCCCAGCCCACTGGCCCTCTGCCTTCCTACGCTCCACTGGGAGCAGAGGAAGACCTGCCTTTGCTGAAAAGGCTGCTGGCCCCGAGAGATAATCGGGACCTTCACCCACCTCTTTACCCCTAAGGGTTTTCCTCACCTACAAGCAAGGAAAACACACCATCAGGCTCCTCCAAACGCAAATGGTCCAGGGCGGGCACAGACAGAGGCTCAGTGCAGCTTGTTCTTGGCCTGTAACAATGCACTGCTCCATGCAGGACCTGAGAAGAAAACACAGAATGTTCCCAGAAGGCCCCCAGTCAGAACACAGGTAGCCATGAGGAGAAGAGTCTACCCTTGTGCCCAGGGCAAGCCTAATTCAGTCATGAAAATTAGATCTGTTTTTGTGAACACTCGCTCTGTGCCAGGGAATCCCCTAGAAATTTTTACATAAATTCTCTCCTTTTATCCTCACAACTCTCTAAGAAGGTGGTAGTACCCGATTTTACAGATGAGACTCAGAGAGGTCTGGAAACAGAGCAGCTCTGTTCCCACCCAGGCTGCCTACCAATGAAGCTTAGGCAGGGCCTCACCATCCTGCTTCTCCCAGGGATGTCTGACCTCATCCTCGACCAAACAGGAGCCCAGGGCAGCCAAGAGAGGCCAGGGGTCACTGTGCCTGGAACACAGAGGCCTGGCCACACACAGCAGACAGCTGACACCAGCTAGCTGGCAGTTGTGGGGTCAGGCTCTGCAACCTGGAACCACCACTCCCTTGGCCCTGCTGCCCCGGGTAATCAGGAGCCTGAAGCTCTCATCTCCACCCACGGGACCAGTCTGTGGGCTCATGAGAACACCTCACCATGGGACAGCCAGACTTGTACCTTGTCTGGAGCCAGCCCCAGCTTCCTACTCCCCATTCTGCAGCGAATGCTGATGGGGGCAGGGAGTAGGGTGGACAAGGAGCCATGGGGAAGCACAGCCAGGGAAAATCAGGATTGTTCTCTTTGCGGAAGAAGCCCCCAGGTCCCTATGCCATGGTGGTAGAAACCTGGCAGCGATGCCCTCTGCCCATGGGGCTACTTCACCGTGTACCTGGACTTGGAACCATCACAGACTTCGGAACCAACAGGAATCTGGGAGTGACTGCAGGCTGAACTACAGTGGACTTTCAGACGCACAGCAGGCTGGTGGAGCACACACAGGCCTGGTTCCCTCCAGGCCACCAGCAGAACGGTGGAGGTCTTCACTGACTCCCTGCCCACTTCTCCCAGGACAATGTCCTGTTGGCTTCACAGTCCCTGAAGCCAGAGCTGGTGGGGGCAGGGAGGCAGCCACCTGCCTCTATATGCAGTAGGGGAGGGGGTGTCCAGGGAGGGCTGCACGACCCTGAGAGCCACAGGTCACCAGACCTCAGGGCTGCAAATACTCTCCCCTACCTCACCTGTCTGGACTTTTCTCCCACTTCAGGGTTTTTCTGGGCTTCCATCTTGCCCCTGCTGAGCCCTGCTACGTCCTCTACCAGGGGCACAACCCCCAGTCTGAGTTCAGAGGCCTCATGTGGTCACTCAGTCCCTCAGCAGACAGGGAGGGTGCAGGGTTTCCCCTTGGCCCGCAAACAGGAACACAGGGTGTTTCTCAGTGGCTGTGAGAATGCTGATGAAAACCCCAGGATGTTGTGTCACTGTGGTGGCCAGCTGACAGTGACAATCATCCCTGTTTGCCCTGAGCACTCCTGCAGGGGTAGAAGACTCCAGAGCCTTTCTCAGGTCTGTGGCCCATGCAGCCCATGGAGCTTCATAACCTGAGCTCTCCCTCTCCCTCTCTCTCCTCCTTGGTTCTCCTTCCCTCCTTCCCTCCCTCACCCTCCTCTTCTTCCTCTGCCTTTACCACTGTGGGGGGGTCCTCTAGAGAGACCTGCCACCCCACCTCTTCCCCAATGGTGTCTGCCTTCCTGGCACCGATCCTGGCCCTGGAGTTTGTCCTGGGCCTGGTGGGGAACAGCTTGGCCCTCTTCATCTTCTGCGTCCGCATTCGTCCCTGGACCTCCAACACGGTGTTCTTGGTCAGCCTGGTGGCCGCTGACTTCCTCCTGATCAGCAACCTGCCCCTCCGAGTGGACTACTACCTCCTCCGTGAGATCTGGCGCTTTGGGGCCACTGCCTGCAAAGTCAACCTCTTCATGCTGTCCACCAACCGCACGGCCAGTGTCGTCTTCCTCACGGCCATCGCGCTCAACCGCTACCTGAAGGTGGTGAAGCCCCACCACGTGCTGAGCCGGGCTTCCGTGGGGGCAGCTGCCCGGGTGGCCGGGGGACTCTGGGTGGGCATCCTGCTCCTCAATGGGCACCTGCTCCTGAGCACCTTCTCAGGCCCCTCCTGCCTGAGCTACAGGTTGGGCACAAAGCCCTCAGCCTCGCTCCGCTGGCACCAGGCGCTGTACCTGCTGGAGTTCTTCCTGCCCCTGATACTCATCCTGTTCGCCATTGTGAGCATTGGGCTTACCATCCGGCGCCGTGGCCTGGACGAGCAGGCGGGCCCACAGAGGGCCATGCGTGTGCTGGCCATGGTGGTGGCTGTCTACACCATCTGCTTCCTGCCCAGCATCATCTTTGGCACAGCTTCCATGGTGGCCTTCTGGCTGTCCACCTGCCACTCCCTGGACCTCTGCTCACGGCTCTTCCATGGCTCCCTGGCCTTCACCTACCTCAACAGCGTCCTGGACCCTGTGCTCTACTGCTTCTCCAGCCCCAGCTTCCTCCACCAGAGCCGGGCCTTGCTGGGTCTCACTCGGGGGCAGCAGGACCCCATCAGCGATGAGAGCTCCTACCAACCCTCCAGGCGGTGGCGTTGCCAGGAGGCCTCTAGGAAGGCAGGTGCCACAGGGAATCTGGAAGTACAGGCCGAGGTGTCTCTGGAAAAGGAAGGCTGCTCCCAGGGCTGAGGGCCAGCTGCAGGGCTGCAGTGCTGCAGAGGTAAGGGCTGCTGTGCTCTGGCCTGGAGGGACAAGGCCAACACATGGTGCCTCAGCCAACCAGAAAAGGGATGGCGGCAGACTTGGGGCCAGGCTGAAGCACTGGCAGGACTCAGGAGAGTGGCAGGGAGAGAAAGCTGCCTTGGCCTCTCAGTGTGTCCAGAATGGTGTTCCCAGGATGCAGGGAAGAACAGAATGCAGGTGGAGACAGGCAGGGCGCTGTGGTCACGCCAGCTCAGACAGCGGCCTGCACAGCTGCAGGGGCCAGAGGCCAATCACTGTCACAGCAGAGTCGCCTTAGAAATTGGACAGCTGCATGTTCTGTGCTCTCGTTTGTCCCTTCTGATATTAATAAACTTCCCTTTTAAATATATTTATTTCTAAGACCAAATACCTGTTTTTAATTCTAGCCTGGGACTGAGTCAGTAGGCATCAAAGTGAGCACCCCAAGGTGAAGGGAAACTTGGGACAGAGTGGGGAAGCCATCCCATAGCCCATCCCAGGGGGCACTGTCCTTCCCAGAACTTCTGGGAAGCCCTGGCATGCCCTGAAAGGCAGACTGCTTTCCTGGGTGAGGGCCTCAGGCCACAAGGGCTCCAGACCCTCAGGTATAGAGTTTTATGCTGGGGATGTAATATCCCTCCCCACTTCCCTTAATCCACTTAGCCCAACCCCCTCATATCCTGGACAGGATGCACCCCAGCTACTGAAGTAGCCAGGAATAGAAGTGAAAGCCCAGGAGTGTCACACACAGACCAGGAAGGTGGCATCAAGGGTCAGTGTGGATGTTGGGGAGGGGGTCGGAGAAGAAGTATCCAACAGAGGGAGGCAGGCCTGGAAATGACGGGCAGATGAGTGCTGGACCCCATCTCCACTGTGTATCTCCAGCCCACCTCTCTGCTTCGCTCAGAAACCTACCGAGGTGCCAGGGTGCCACCTGGCCTCCTCCAGGGTTGCTCTTCTGTCTCTCAGCTCCCCAGGGGTCCCTCTCATTCCCTCTACTCTTACTGCTCTCTTTTACTCCCTGGAGTCATTCCTAGGGGGTCCCCACTTCTCTGCACCCTCTGTCACCACAAGGAAGGGAGTCCAAGCCTGGGTAGGGCCACCTCAGCCTGAGTCAGGTGGTTTAGGAAAGGCCCGCACACTCCTGGAGGTGGGAACTGAGCAGCTCCTTCGGGCAAATCCCCACCTGGGTTGCCAACACTTGCTGCCAGCTCAACACCAGGCACCTTTCCTGTGGTACCATCTCTGCCCCTGAATGTGCCCACCTGGCCTCAGGGCAGCTCCATGGGCCATTTCCTCAATCTCCTCTTCCCTGGACCATTCTCCTTCCAACTCCTCCATCAAGTCCTCCCAGCTCCCCCTGCACCTGCGCTCACTCCTTCGTGACCTGATGGAAGAGAAATGGGCAGATACTCCCATGGTTCACAGGAATGTCTGCAGTCCTGTCTTTTCCCATCAAGGGAGGGAGCAGAGGCCGCCCTGGAGGAGTTCCTGGGTAGATGCTGGTCTCAGGGTTCAGGCCTGCACTCCTAACCTGCCCAGATCCTCCTTGCCCCCCATCTTGACCCTGAGGGCTGCTCCCTTGCTCACAAGCTGGGCATGCCACCCTTCTCCACCTCCCCATCCTTCACAAGGCCTTCTCTGAAGGGGGCTGGGTGTTCCTTCACGAAGCAGGCTTCGGGCTGTCCCCACGCTGCCCCTGCATGGAGGTAGGACTGACTCCCTGGTCCTAACCGTGGCCCCAGCCCACTGTATCCTTCTCTGGACTTAGTTCTCCATCCGCGAATGGGAACAGTGATCCTGGCCCTCGCCCAGCTCCTGGGGCTGGGGATGGAAGTAACTATATGCCCAGAGCTCTGGGTGAAGAAGGCAGCGATTACGTGGAGCAGGGAGGGGAGAAGGAAGAGGAGTGGGAAGAGAAAGAAAACTGCGTTTAAGTGAAAGCTTTTCTAGAGATGGAGTAGTGCCCGTGGTGGTATAAGGGGAGCTGGGGGCAGGCTGAGACCCCAATTCCTACATTTGGGTTCTAAATGGCATTTTGGTCCCAGGGGCAGGCTGCACTATCCAGTGTGAATTTGGGGCAGCGTCTTCCACCTCGTCTTTTTTCTCTTCTTTCTCCTAACATGGCCTGCTGGCACCCTGAGGGAAGATCAGATGGCATGCATTACTTTACTCCAGGGACTCCTGAGCAGGGGGTGCAGGCAGGGCTGGTGACAGGCCAGCAGCCACTAACTTGCCAGTGTTTAGTGGGTACCTGCCATGGGCCAGACACTGAGCTACAAAGGCAGACAATTGTACTCTGAATTTGAGCCCCTCAGGCTAAGCCGGGGAAAGACAGACGTGCAAATGGAACCAGTGCAATGCAGCCCAAAGCAGTTCGGCGTCTTTGAGGTGGTGATGCACTCTGAGAGCAGAGGCTGGAAGAGGTGCCTCTGCCTAGACTGTCAGGGAAGTGATGCACGTAAGCTGGATCTCAGAGGATGAGGAAGGAGAGAAGACAATGGCATCCCTGGCACTGGAAGAGCATCACCAAGGCATACAGCTGTGAGAAGACTCAGTATGCAGGGGCATGGGGAGGAGATCACTGAGGCAAGAGAGGTGGAGGCCTACTGCACAGCTAGGGGACAGGCAGGAAAGGCAGGTAGGGCCAGACCCAGAAGGGCCCTGGTGCCAAGCCTGGGTGTCTGGGTGGATCCTGCAGACAGTATGGCAGGAGAGGGGCATGTGCATGAGGTGAAGTGGAAGATGGTGATTGGTTTGCATTTTGATCAGTTACTCTGGCAATAGCGTGAGGGTAGGGGACATGGGAGATGACCTGTGTGGGAAATGTCTATATTCCAAGCAAAGGCCTGAAGAAAGGCAGCTGCAGAGAGCACAGAGGGTCCCGACGGGGAGGTGTGTGGGTGACACACTGAGGGTGCAGGTGGTGGAGCAGGTTCAGCAGTAAAACACGTTGCAGGGGCTTGGCAGGCACCCAGGCAAACGTACAGTAGCACACTTCAGCCTAGATATAGGCTCGAGGGTCTTCCACTCACCAGGGCTATGTGAAAGAATGTGGTCATCTGGTGAGAATGAAGAGAATCAAGAACCATCCTTTAAAAAAGCCCTGCAAGTAAGGGCTACATGTAGGAAAACCCAGAGAAATGCTCAGGAAGAAAAAAAAAAAAAAAAAAAAAAAAAAAAAAAAAAAAAAAAAAAAAAAAAAAAAAAAAAACCTTTAAGTAGGAAAAAAAACAGGTCTGCAGCAAGAAAAGGAGTCAAGGCCATCTTCATCCATGTAAAGAGACTGCCCATTAAAAAGAACAGAATAAAGCCATCTTTCATGAAGGTAAAAGCCAAACACAAAATACCCAGACAGTCTGCACAGTGCCTCATGCAAGAGCAGAGCATTTTCCAGAATGTTTCCTAATCACATACTGAAAAAGTTGATCTCAAGACCAGTGTGCATATCTGACACTGTCTGGTCAATCAACACCCTGGATGGACAGCCTGGATTAACAATGCATTGTCTGGGTCTATTGTTTAAAAGCTTTCCAAAAAGTGATAGGTTGTCACTGTATGAAATTTAACAATATGTAAAACATGTTCACTAGCATTTATGGATTCATACATATGCATTAATCGTATAAAATCATGTATGGGATGATAAACACTAAATTAAAGAGAGTACTTACTTCTGAGATGGAGGAAAATGGAAAGGGGCACACAGGTGACTTACTACTAGATCTGAAGTTATCTTTCTAAAAAAATCGACTATGAGTGACATCTGCGTGTTACTTAGCATTGCTTTGGGTAGAGAATAAAGGGATCAGTGAAAGGAATGAAAAAAAATTCAAACAGCCACAACAGCTTCAAACACTCAAGAAAGCTTAAAGAGGATGACTTAAGAATAGCATTGGATTTGACAATTAGAAGGTCATTAAATGTGACTTTATTGACAGCAATTTCAGTGAGTGCATGGGGGTGGGGCAGAATGGAAGCCATAATGTGCTATAATGGGTAGAGGAATTAATGAGATTTGAAGTGATGGAAACAACTCTACCCCTTCCAACAAATGTGCCAGTAAAAGGAGAGAAGATAATAGCTTTAGACGAAACTAAGCAGAGGACCAATGTTTTGGTGGTTTGACTGTTCTGTTATTTAGTGGATTGGATGAAGAGATTTTACATATGGGAGGAGAAGGGAGAAAAGAAAAATACTGGGGAGGAGGGGAATGATGATAGGGACTGATACCAGGCCTTGTTCTAAGCATTTTACACTTATGGATTTCTTTAGTCCTGATGAGGGAGATTCCATTATTATCCCATTTTACAGATGGAAACACTGAGGCAAAAAGAGATTGAGTAATTTGCCCAAGGTCATCCAGCCAGTAAGTGGCAGTCTGGCCTGAGTCAGGACACTATTACAAGGCCCTAAGGGAGTGGAAGGATTAATCCAGTGCAAGGGTGGCAGGAGGGTCTGTCCCCAGAAGATAGAAAGATGCCTCCTTGAGTTGGAGCAATGGCACTATTTCAGTAGGTCTTGGGGCAGAGGGAATAGAACTGAAGGGATTCTTAGAAGCCCAGCTCTCAGTGGGTAAGGGCTTAAAAAACAGCAAAGGATTGGAACAGTTGGTTCTGGAAATAAGAAAAGAAGCTTCCAAAGAAGAACATAGAAAAGAATCACCAAGCAAGCGGCTTAAGGGGCCTGGTGAATTAAACACCCACAGCCGTGGGATTTAGGTGGCGTGTGGCTCCTCCAGAAACCCCTGCAGCCAGAGGCAGAGTCAGAATAAACAGAGGGTAAAGCTTACCCAGGAAGGGGCAGAAGAAACCTCCTAGGAAGTGTGATGATAAAAACCCAGTCCTGGTATGGAGCTTAACGTTGGTCCCCCTTGAGAGGTAGGGCATGCAACACTCTGAAGTACAGAGGAGCTTCCAGAAAGAGGGAGGTGATACTTGAGTTCATATTAAAAGTCTTAATAAAAAAAAAAACAAAACACTGACAAGGCTGGACACAGTGGCTCACGCCTGTAACCCCAGCACTTTGGGAGGCCAAGGTGGGCAAATCACCTGAGAACAAGAGTCCAAGACCAGCTTGGCCAACATGGTGAAACCTCCGTCTCCATTAAAAATACAAAAATTAGCCAGATGTGGTGGCGTGCAGCTGTAGTCCCAGCTACTCGGGAGGCTGAGACATGAGAATTGCTTGAACTCCGGATGTGGAGGTTGCAGTGAATCAAGACTGTGCCACTGCACTCCAGCCAGGGTGACAGAGCAAGACCCTGTCTGAAAAAAAAAAAAAAAAGAAAGAAAAAGGAAAAAAGAAGCTCAGTGTCTCCTTTTAAGAAAATCTTTCACAAAGCCCAGCAAACAAGAGTCACACATATGCATACTTCACAAACACAGG